GTAACAACTTTTATTGATAGCTGGAACTGTATGTGACTCTAACAACTGTTGTTGATAGCTGGGACTGAAACAACTGTTACTGATAGCTGGAACTGTATGCGACTATAACAACAGTTATTGATAGCTGAGACTGTAACAACTGTTATTGATAGCTGGAACTGTAACAACTGTTATTGATAGCTGGGACTGTAACAACTGTTATTGATAGCTGGGACTCTAACAACAGTTATTGACAGCTGGGACTGTAACAACTGGTGTTGATAGCTGGGGCTGTATGTGTTTGTGGTAGGAGGTAGATAGGACCAAAGAATGATATAAATGGCACACAAAATGTGAGCAGCTTATAGTTAAATATTTTAAATAGTTTTTGATATTTAGTCCAAGTCAGTATTGGTTGTGCGTGTGTCTTAGGAAGGGGACATTATCCACAACTTTACATTTACAATCAGTGTCTTAACCATAAATGTAACAACGATTAATAAGATATCGGTTAAATATGTCAACATTCAAAGACAGAATATAAAACAAAAAATTTTCCGGTGCTTCTGAAATCCTCACCGCTATGTGTCGTTTAAGGCGAGAAACTATGATTATTAGCTATATTTTCTAACCGTAAAGGAAGTTTTACAGTATTATCATATTTCCATCTTTCAACGGTAGTCCACTTAGCCAACCCGACACTTCTGTACTAATTTTGACGATCGAGGTTATATGAATTTATTTTTCGGATATTCACGCAAAGGTACACAAGGGCTATCTACGCTATTCGTCCATAATTGTTAACTAAAGGGAAAGACAAAACAGCTAGTCAACAGATGCCACCAATAACTTTTGGGCTACTGTTATCGGACCGAAATAATTGTAATGAATAGAACAAATTCGTTACTTGACTTGATAAGATTCATTTCACGTTATGATATAAATAGTATTTGTTCACATCACCATCTACGTTTCCAAAGAATGCATCAAAACATACCAGGTGGGCGCTTAACAGCAAGATAAAACTTTTCGTTCTTGTTGGATCTCTGTACAAGGTATTCATGAGATGCTATGTATAAATTTCTCCTGATTGGAGACGATAAAGAATTCCGCGAAGTTTCAAAACTGATTTTAAGTCACGAGAAAACATAGATAACTATCAGATTGAGTTCTGTGTTTATGTAAGATTTGATTAAACTTACACAAGGTTTCTCAAAAAACAAATAAAAGAGTGATACACGTGGAAAAGCGATGATAGTTATAGGCGTGTGTTCCGTGATTGACATGAGAGGTTTGTGTGATAAGTTCCACCTGTGGTGTTTTATTCAGATCTACGTATCGTGACGAAATAAAAGTAAAACTGTAAGGACCGTTTGTTTTAATAAAATATTATATTGTTGAAAATATATTTTTGTTCTCTTAGTTTTCACTGTTCAGAACGTCTCGTAGTGGGAATGGCCATGTGATGTAACAGCTGTATTTATTTATTTTCTGTCTTAAAGTTGAAACTTTGAGTAGTTAATTTGTTCGCTGTGAAAACCTGTCACCATGGGAACGAAACTGTATGTGTGATCCAAAAATTCTCTCGACAGATGTTCTCGGTAGCGTATTTCTCTGTCTGTCTTTTTCGCCAAGCTTTTCCTAACCGCTTTGTGCACCTACTGTTCGTGAAATCGGTTCGCCAAGCTTTTCCTACCCGTGTTGTGTACCTACTGTTCGTGAAATCGGTTCGCCAAGCTTTTCCTACCAGCGTTGTGCACCTACTGTTCGTGAAATCGGTTCGCCAGGTCTTTCCTACCCGTGTTGTGCACCTACTGCTCGTAACATCGGTTCGCCAGGTCTTTCCTACCCGTGTTGTGCACCTACTGCTCGTGAAATCGGTTCGCCAGGCCTTTTACACCTATGTTGTGCACCTACTGCCCGTAACTTCGGTCCAAGAATCGGTTAATGTGTTATATGAGTAGTTTGCTTTACAAAAATAAAATGCTGAAAAGGCTGTTATTTGTGAATAAAATTGTGGGATTTGATACTGGGTTTTTTTATATACCTATCATGTGAATATTTTAGCTCAATATGTAGTTTCTCCCATGTTTAAATCAATTTTAAATTAAGTTTTATTACTTAAGTTTTCATTATCTTTCTCGAAGTCTTTTTTTATTTGATTATTTCCGATACTGTTAAACACAAAATATAAGAACGTTTGTTAATAAATAACAGAGTTAGATGAATAACCAAATACAAACAACTTTGTTACTATACCAAAGTTTTCATTCCTAATAGGCTGGGCATGACGCAAGCGTTTAACTTGGTTCATGGTTCACGTGCTGTTGCTTCTGCTTTGTACTTTGGGACTGAGTTTGCTGTGATAGTGACGGTCAAATCCTATGGAGTGATATACCGTATGATTATTACAGAAACAAAACGGCTGTAGAGTATAATATTTTAGCTTTTCTTTGTTAGAACGAATCAGTCCTCATATTTAATTTGAAAGTTTTGTAGACATATAAATACGACACTACATGAGTTGTAGTCTTGCTGTTTATATGTTGAGTACATGTAGAAAAACACATCTGTAGAATTTTAAGGTAAAGGTTCATCTACACCCATTTCAGCGTCTCGCATATGTGCATAAACACATTTGCTCTCTTCAATAATTGATGTATGGACTTTTGTTGGAATGTCGAAATTAAATTTGTAGTTGTTTTATTTAATAAAAGATCAACATGGTGACAAACACTTTACTAGCCGTATCTGTGGACTCGTAGAAAAATCAAGCTCAGACGTAGATCTATGTACAAGTTGGTTTCAATATCATTTTCGTATTTTTCCACATAATAGCTGCCACTAAACACCCGTATCGTGGGAAGTTAATTATGTTCTCTCAACACAGAGGTCTAATGTTGTTTATGATGTACGAAGTTAATTATGTTCTCTCAACACAGAAGTTGTCTGATGATGTTTAGGATGTAGGAAGTTAATCATGTTCTCTCAACACAGAAGTTGTCTGATAATGTTTAGGATGTAGGAAGTTAATCATGTTCTCTCAACACAGAGGTCTAATGTTGTTTAGGATGTAGGAAGTTAATTATGTTCTCTCAACACAGAGGTCTAATGTTGTTTATGATGTAGGAAGTTAATTCTGTGTTGAGAGAACATAAGTTGTCTAATGTTGTTTATAATGTACGAAGTTAATCATGTTCTTTCAACACAGAAGTTGTCTGATGATGTTTAGGATGTAGGAAGTTAATCATGTTCACTCAACACAGAAGTTGTCTGATGATGTTTATGATGTAGGAAGTTAATCATGTTCACTCAACACAGAAGTTGTCTGATGATGTTTAGGATGTACGAAGTTAATCATGTTCTCTCAACACAGAAGTTGTGTAATGGTGTTTAGGGTGTAAGAAGTTAATTACGTTCGTTCAATACAGTTGTCTAATGATGTTTAAGATGTTAATCATCATGTGTAAAATAGTATAATTGAATGTATTTCTTTTCTCTATCACTCTCTTGGAGCTACGACTTCAATCATGCTCAGCTGGTTTAAGGACATCGGTATGATAAAAGGATGGACGCCATCATGTGTTAGGCTACAAGTGTGTAGGATGGGGAAGGGTTATCCTTCCAAATTTGTTAATTTCAATCATTGAATGACAGCAGTATGACACCTGACACATGTCAAGTTGTAAGGAAACATCATTTTGCAGTTGACGGATACTGATCTATTAATTTCAAGTCATTACAGGATAATGTATAAATATATTGTACCGTATGGCATCAAAGAAACAGCCACATACTTTGAAAAACTCTCTGAAGACATTGAACGTTTGTCAAAAGTCTAAATATTCTCATGACTTGTGCAAGCATACACCCGAAATCTCTCTTCAAGAAAGGAGTTAACACTACCATTTATTCTGGGTAGCAATTTTCTATGATAAGAAATACAGACAAATCCTTATTAAAACTGCATATTCCCTTCCCTGCTTTCGCATTGTAGATGTGTCGTGGACTAGCCCCATTGTGAACACACTGCTTCTATACACCCGTTTTGACTAAAGCATTTTATATATTATAGAATAAAAATCAAGCGTCTGTACACTATCCACAGTATTTCGTGGAAAATTGTAAACGTATTAAAATGTTTCAGTGTCAATGGGTAATGTTTCTTATGTACTGTATATCTATCTCCTGGTGGCTCAGCCAAAATTCGGGGTTCGATCCCCTTTGTTGGCATAACGCCAATAAACCAGTATTGCAACTTTGCACTAAATATAAGAACAACTGTGCTATAAAGTAGATAGTGCTAAATCCTTTTATTATTTTATTAAAGCTTCCACTACTGACTGAAGGATGGAAACCATTTTGAATGAAGACGACATACAACTTCAGATAAATGTTATTTTTTTATTATTCTACTCGACGTTTCGGCTTATGCCTTTTTCAAGGGTTTTTGAACGTCACTAGTTAGAAAACTGATTTTAAATTATGGTAACCTGTAAACGTCGAGTAGAATAAAAACAACAACATTTATCTGAAGTTGTTTGTCGTCTTCATTGATAATGCCAAAACTTCCTACTAATTAGGCGACCTAGTGGTTATTATACCGGACTGTGAATCTGAGGGTTCACAGTTTGAGTCCTGTTCCAGGAAACAATTGTAAGGTCGAACATTCTTTTTTATAAGTATTGTAGTGCTAAACAACAATAGTTTCATCACTAACAATATGTATTGTTCTGTTGGATACACTATACGATATATGACGTTTATTGTGTCTGGGATGGTAACTAAACAACAATAGTTTCATCACTAACAATATGTATTGTTCTGTTGGATACACTATACGATATATGACGTTTATTGTGTCTGGGATGGTTATTATCGTTTTATATCTATGTATATGTGTACATGGATATCTTTCTGAAATGGTGTTTTAAACTCTGTATAACTTTATACATACCTAATGTTACAATGAGTAAGATAAGTAACATTTTAAGACTGATTATCTAACAAGTAATCTTTACCTTTAACAGAGTGTCGTGTTTCGAGTTCAGCAGCATCCAGAGTATCCCGATTTTGAACAATGTGTGAGCTTTGGTTTTTTTTCCGAGGTTGGGCAAGACAGAGCTTATAACATCTTCTGTATTCTGGCTTTGTACCTTGTGCCACTGGCCATCATAATCTTTTGTTACTCTCGCATCCTGTGGGTTATCTCCAGAAGATCACGTGACAATGAAGGTGATCCTAAGCCTGTTAATAAATTTAATTATGCTATTTTCTATTTTTAATTAAAAAACCTTTTTAATGAACGGAGGCTCTAAATTAAGAAAATACTTTTCGTATATGGAACGTAGTATTATCAAAACGCAGTTGCTTGTCTCTCTGCATATGTATCTTTTAGAAGTAGTTGTAGAAGTACTGATCTGCTATGTCAACATGGTTGTACAGACTTGACTACTTACCGTTAGTTATTGTTCTTGTAGATCATCTCACGAGAGGGCAGCAGTATAGAGGTCGGCTTCACCTACGCCGTTCCAACATGACGCACATTGAAAGGGCGCGAGCTCGCACACTCCGCATGACCATTACTATTGTCTTGGCCTTTTTCTGGTGCTGGACCCCATACGTTGTTATCGTCTTGTGGTACCAGATAGACCTTGACTCTGCTCAGAAGCTAGCAGCTGAGGTCCAATCTGCTCTCTTCATGTTCGCCGTTTCAAACTCTTGTGTCAACCCCCTGGTCTATGGGAGCTACGCTTTCAACTTCAACAACGTCTTCAAGGTCTGCTGTTCCTCTGGTTCCGGTTGTCCAACGTACTTCTCTCGACGCTCATTTCGACGAACACTTTCCTCCAACGTCACAAGAGCCACACACGTTGAAACTCGAGAAAATGTTCCAAAACAGTGCACCATCTTGACCCTGAAAGAAAATGGTCAGCTAATAACCTCCTCTCAAGCACTCAGTTCTTATCAATCCCGTGGCCATCTCGGTCCACGTCCAGCACTCAATATAAACCGAGCGTCTTCATGTTGTGCTATTGAGAGAAGTTATGTTTAAATAAAAGTAATCAACACGGTAGCAAGTGCCAAGTTAACCCTCCGAAAAGTGGTTGAACTTGAAAGTTTTAAGGATTCAGGGTATCTTGTACAACGTACCACTCAATGTATGCACTCCAATCAGGCCATTATTACGAGTTCTTTCTTGCCAAAAGTAAGAAATGGAAAATCCGTGGATATTTTAGAATTGAGCAAACAATCTTAAACTTTCTCGTATACATAATATAACTTTAGGCATTCAGTAAATTTACCAATTTACAAAATGGGATATACTTTTAGACTGAATTATTTTGACAAAGTCATAGAACAGTACTGTAAACCCAGTAAATTCGTTACTTATCGTTGTAATATTCACACACATAGTTGATAAGGTTGGTGGTATATATTCACATTCCAGTTTCTTCGACACATTGTGCTGACATTCAACCTCTTCAATGGTACCTATCATCTACCAATTTCTAATATTTACATGTTGTTTCATGTTCAACCATGTGGTTTTATTACCACATCTTTCACTCTTGCATGAGTATTAGTACTAATAAAAATGGAGATAAATGTCTTAAAAATTACTGTGTGTGTTTTATTGTTACAACAGATTCTTTCTTAATTATTACACGATACATTTCATTACAACACTCTTGTGTACGTATGGTTTGTCACAGCTTTAAATGTCTAATTCTATCCAACAAATCATTGATGTTATTTTACCTTTTCTAAAACTTTAAAACACTTCATTTGTTCGTTATAAAATGCATTAATTACCACAAAATGTATTCTGTACATCACTGTAACTGTAAAATCACTGTACTCTATGTAACATCTATCACTTTACTGTACTCTATGTAACAGCTATCACTTTACTGTGTAACATCTAACACTTTACTGTACTCTATGTAACGGCTGTCACTTTACTGTACTCTCTGTAACGGCTGTCACTTTACTGTACTCTATGTAACATCTATCACTTTACTGTACTCTATGTAACATCTGTCACTTTACTGTACTCTATGTAACATCTAACACTTTACTTTACTCTATGTAACATCTAACACTTTACTGTACTCTGTGCATGATCTAAGATGTTACATAGAGTACAGTAAAGTGACAGATGTTACATAGAGTACAGTAAAGTGACAGATGTTACATAGAGTACAGTAAAGTGACAGCCGTTACATAGAGTACAGTAAAGTGTTAGATGTTACATAGAGTACAGTAAAGTGTTAGATGTTACACAGTAAAGTGATAGCTGTTACATAGAGTACAGTAAAGTGTTAGATGTTACATAGAGTACAGTAAAGTGATAGATGTTACATAGAGTACAGTAAAGTGATAGATGTTACACAGAGTACAGTAAAGTGATAAAGTGATAGATGTTACATAGAGTACAGTAAAGTGATAGATGTTACATAGAGTACAGTAAAGTGATAGATGTTACAGAGTACAGTAAAATGATAGATGTTACATAGAGTACAGTAAAGTGTTAGATGTTACATAGAGTACAGTAAAATGATCCTGTACTCTATGTAACATCT